ATGCGGGACTCGATCCCGGGACTCCAGGATCATGACCTGAGCCGAAGGCAGTCGCTTAACCAACTGAGCCACCCAGGCGCCCCCTGATCTCTTTTCTTTTGCTTTTCCCCCAAATCATTTGTTCCCTGCCCTTGTGTTGTTATTGCCTTTCCAGAACACAACTAGCTGTCTGTCACAGTGGAGGACTTGCCCTGACCTCCCCCTTGACCCCCTGACCCCCAAGGACTGCTGACCAAGACCCAGGATCCTTAACTCTCCAATCTGGGCTTGTCTTGATGTGGATGCAACAACTTTTCCAACTGTCCAACAGAGAGAGCTCCCCAGCATTAACCTGGGCTGCCTTGTAAAGTAGTGAGCTCCGCATCACCAGAGGGGTATAAGCCCAGGGTGGAGAGCCACTGCTGGAGGTATTACAGAAGGGACTCCCGATGTTATGAGGAGGCTGAACTAAGTGGCTTCTGAGCTCCCTCCCAACTCAGAGACCCCATGGATATTTGAATCACTTCACATGAACAAAAGAGCATTCCCATCACTGCTGCCCCATCTTTCACCCAACAAAAGATGAGGTGAAGTTGCTTCTGTTGTTGTCTCCTTAGGTCAGCTGAAGCTGTCAATCGATGCCCAGGACCGGGTTCTGCTGCTCCACAGTGAGTATGGGGCCAGGCGGTGAAGGTTCCCATGGGCCACCCAGAGGATTTTACACTTTACCTGTCTGTCCATTTATCCATTTGTTTGTCCTTCCACCCAGCACACATGTAGTTACTGAGCTTCTTTCGTGGTCTTTGCTGCCTGGACTCTTCTGTTTAGCCCAGCAGGCCCTGCCTATCTCTCCAGCCTGTGTGGCCCTTGCTGTTAAAGTCTCCCTGCACTGCCCCCTCTTTTCTTTTTTTTAAAGGTTTTATTTATTTGAGAGAGAGAGAGAGTGAGAGAGAGAGTGTACGAGAGGGGGGAGGGTCAGAGGAAGAAGCAGACTCCCCACTGAGCAGGGAGCCCGATGCGGACTCGATCCTGGGACTCCAGGATCATGACCTGAGCCGAAGGCAGTCGCTTAACCGACTGAGCCACCTAGGTGCGCCCCCCCCTTTTTTTTAAAAAAAGATTTTATTTATTTGACAGAGAGAGACAGAGAGGGAACACAAGCAGGGGGGGTGGGAGAGGGAGAAGCAGGACCCTGGGATCACGACCAGAGCCACCCAGGCGCCCCTCTGCACTCCCTTTTCTGTCCAGTTACATGCACCCCCTTGAGGGCATCATGCTTGCTCATGCCTCTGAGCCTCTGCACCCCACTGTCTCTTGTGCCTGGAGTCGCCTGCCTTCTTTTTGAATTCCTTTTGAAAAATAACTCTCCCTCCCTCTGATTTTGCAAGAAATGTGCCTGCCTTCATCATCATTAAGGCTCAGGAAGGAAGGCTTACTTTGCTTCATTTTTTTCCCCCTTCAGGAATCACCCTCCTGACCTACCTGAGTATGTTGCTTCCTCCTCTGTGTCCTTCACACAGCCCTGACTACACTGCGTCACTCTGGGCTGTCCCGGAATGCAGTGGGGGCAGGAACCATGTCTGCCGCACCTGCTCGGGCAGGGGGGAGGGTGGGCAGGGAGATCCGGGGTTTCCTCAGGCCGGGAACCTGCCCCCCCCCGTGACCACGCCCTCAAGAGGAAGGACGCACACAGGACTGGTAGCTAGGACACCAGGCAGCATAGACCAGCAGGCGCCTGGGGTCCTCCGGTCCTGGCCTTGGGGGGCCCAAGGTGACGTTCCCAAGGACCAGCAGAGGAGGGTTCTTTGCGGGCCAGAGCCTGACTCCAGCTGTGCAAACAGATTTTGCAAAATGCATCTTGGCCTCCACCACTTCATTTGTCCTGCATGGTTTGCTTTGGCTTCACCCCAGTCGTAGGGCTCTTCATCCCTTCCAGCCTGTTCTCTCTCCCCTTTGGCTTCACAGGCTTCATGCCTCAGACTACAGGAGCCCCGTCCAAGCCAAACCCTAGGCCTCAATCCCCACTGAACAGAAAAGAGCAAAGAGGCTCCGCTTCTGTCTGATTTCTGCAGACCGCAGGCAAATGCTTACATTCAGGATCAGGCCTGCGCCTCACCTGCCACCTATCCCTTGCCTTTATTATTTTTTCTCTAGCAAACCTTCTTTCAGCAATTACGTGCTTGCCAGGCCCTCTCCTCAGCACTTTAGACACATCATCTCATTCAGCCAGCACACCTTCATGTGAAGTGGGTGTCGTGATCCCTGACCCATTACGATCACTCCTCCATTGAAAAATAGCGAATTCAGTGGCAGAGAGACGAAGCCACTTGCTCACACTGTCCCGTCTAGTAAGTGCCGGAGCTGGTATTTGTGCGGGTCTGTGGCCCCAGGGCCCCGGGCCCGTCTCTGGACCCAGGCTTCTGCCTGCTCTGCCATACCGTCCCGCAGTCCCAGTGCAGCCGACGGGGCAGGGTAAGTTCTCCAGCCTGGCCCCTCCGTTCCAGGAGGTGGACTCGGGTGGAGGAGGGAGCACCGTACTGGGAGTCAGGAGATAGGGATTCAAACCCAGCTCTGGCTTACCCATCGCTCTGATTGCTCTGTGACTTTGGGTGCGTTTCTTACTATCTCTGGGTCCCCCTACAGTCTCATCTTTCCCATTAAAAGAGGGGTTAAACTCGATAAATTTGATGTTCTTTCAGCTGTAAGTTTCAAGGAATCGAATGCACCCTGCAATGTCTCAGTGAGGGTGCTGCCTGTGTGTGGGAGATGGTGGGAATGGACTAGACCAGAGGGGCTTAATAGCCAATGGCTGTTACGCACATTAGGGGCTAATGATAATCCTTCCTGCCCAGGCACCCACCCCAACATTTCCATTCTCTCTTTAGTTATAGAAGGCAAAGGCCTGATGAGCAGAGAGCCTGGCATCTGTGATCCCTACGTGAAGGTATATGATGAGCTGGAGGTAGGGAGGTGTGTGGGTGGGGGTGATGAGGGGCCATGTCACTAGACTGTGTCCCAAGGTCTCAGCACATCTGTGGGCTTGGGGCCACTCGAGGTGGCAGGGACCACCTCATTATTTGGTCATTAGGCATTTATGAGATCCAGTGATGAGGTGCTGAGCTAGGATAGGCCCTTCCCTTAGCCCAGCTTGGTCCCTGAGGCTTCCTGCAAGAGCGGGAATCTTGTGGGTGATCTTGGTCATCCACACAGGTGAGCACTGTGAACGTGTGGGTGACAGAAATCCACAGATGATCCCAAGCCCTCTCATGAAAAGCAATATTCTCACCCCTCTCCCTGGCAAAACCAGAAGCAAGATAGCCAGGTTTGGGTGGTGGAGGGGAGAGAGTGTCTCTGAGGCCTAGAAGATCCATCTGAGTGGGGCCATTGCAGTGAAGACAGAGGCCCCACAGGGCAGAGGGCCTACTTCCAGCCAGAACCAAAGGCCAGGCACCTCCCAGAGTGTGGCAGCTGGGATGCACCCCTCTCTTCTCTCCCAAAGCCCCCAGGCTGGTCATAGGCCCCTGTGGGTGAGGACTTGGGCAGGAGCAGAGGCGGGGGAGGAGCAGCTCAAGGGCGAGAACATGGATTTAGGGTCTTGGCAGAGGGAGCCTCTGGTGAAGGGAGCACCGAGCAGCTGCGGGGAACTTAGGAGAGAGGCCAGTGCTGAGAGGAAGACCAGAGATGGCTGAAGTACACGCCATCTACGGCTGGGCCTGTGGCTACCTTGGTGTGTGGGGCCTTCTCCCGGCCCCCCGGCCCCCCGGCCCCCCAGCCCCACATCTGATTCTAGCGCCTCGGCGGGGGCTTCCGTTTGTCTCCCGGCCTCTGACTGAGGACTGCAGTCTGTCCTCTGCAGAGGCTGGTTTGAAGGACACCGGGGAGGCCTTTCACCTGGGGGCTGGGCAGTCAGCTGCTGGGCTTCGGTGATTCCGGAGCCACGAGCCATCATCTCATGCTTCCTTTTCTCCAATTCAAGATTTCTTTGATCCCTGAAGATAATCGACTGCGTCGCCAGAAGACGCAGACCGTCCCAGACTGCAGAGAGCCGGTCTTCCGTGAGCACTTCTTCTTGTAAGAGTCTGGTGCCCTCGAGGGGGAGAGGGAAGGAGTGTTTATCTGGAACCAGCTCCGTTTGCCAAATCTAGAAGTAGATCTAAGCAGAAAAACAGTGACTTCTAAAGGATGTCTGTGTTTTCTCGTTCACTTGTGTCCTTGCATCCCTGGCACCCGGCCCGGCAGCGAGGTCCACAGTGATAAGGTGTCACTTGGCTGGTTCTCACAACCAAAATGCCCAGCCTGAGGCTGGCAGCCCCTGACGAGGAGGCATTTTCCCACAGGGCCTCGGGCCAAGCCTTCTCTTTCAGTAGAAGAAATTTTCCAAGCTGAGGGATTCCCCCCACCTTGTAAAACTTGCTAACCACCCCGGGCCTCAGCTTCCATCGTTGTAAAATGGGCTGATAAGAATACTGACCTCGGAGAACTGACCTGTGAATGAAACCGTGTAATGCGATGTCAGCTGTTTGTTATTATTATTATTATTAATTATTATTATTATTTCCCCCCCCCCCCGAACTCTGGGGCCAATGGGAAGGAAATGGCCATTTGGTATTCTGTTACTGAAAATTAAGAACACTTTGTTTTTTTTCAAACTAATTTGCTTATTGTAGAAAAACAGATTAGCAAAGAGAAGAAAAGAGAAAACCCCTCGAGCCCTACTACTTATGACATGTCTCGGCTTATTTCTTTTCAGGTCTTTGATTTGTGTGGGTGTGTATGTCTGTGTGTGTGTAGGTGTTTACAAAAATGGAATTGTTCTGTAATATTATGTGGTAACCTCCCTTTTGTCCTGAACAAGGTAATTGAAACTCTTTTATGTATGTGAATACTCACCTCCCACCCTATTGGTGCTTGAGTTTCTTTAACCAGCTCCTTATGGTTGTTAGGTTATTTCTAAATTTTGCAATTGTGATGAACTCTGTGGGTCCAGCCTGGAGCTCGGCCCTACTAACACTCTGACCATCTGGTTTGCCTTGCAGTCTCATCCAAGAGGAAGATGAACAGAAGCGCCTTCTGGTCACTGTGTGGAATAGGGCGGGTGACTCCAGGTGAGGGGAAGCACTGAGCTGGAGGGGAGAGCCTCTTCTCGGCCCCCAGGGGGCAGCCAGGCGGCCAGCAGGCACCAGTTAAAGCCTGTGGGATGAATGAGTAGTAGTGGAAACACTAAATCTGAGAGGCCGCCGCTCGCCTGAGTCCCCATCGCTCCAGACAATGTGGAGGACCGTGTTATCAGGTAGTATTTGCTGTGGCCTTGGTATCAACAAGGCATTGCTTTGGCCCCCGGGGACGCCAGCCAGCCTGCCTGTGGCGTCTGCTCTCAAGGTGCCCACTTGTAGGAAGGGACACCAGGTGCTGCCTAGACACCGATTACAGTAACAATATACACACGCTCAGTTCCACAGGAGTAGAAGCTCCTAGAAAAATAGGCCCATTTCTTTTTTAGTCATCACTGTACCCAATGCCTAGCACGTAGATGTTCTGTAAATATTGTTTGAATGGATAAAAGACTGAATGAGTAATAAGGATAGTAAGTATGGGAAGAGGGAAGTTCCTTGTGGGCCGAGGTGATCAAGGAAGGCTTCCTGGAAGAAATGGGATTGTGAACTTGGGGCAGAGATCAAGAATAAGACAAGGAGAGAAGGTTTTGCATGAGCAAAGGCAAGAGGCAGGAATATGCATGCTGGGCTCAGGCTGCCATGAGGAGGCAGCATGGGAGGTGTAGAGGTTTTATGTGGGAATAGCCAAACAGGCTGGTCTTGCATGCTGCGCGGGACGCGGGTGGCCGGATGTGGTCCTTAGCATGGGCTTTAGTCCAGCACAGGGGAGGAGTGCTGGGTGAGGGGGAGAATCAGCTGCTCAGCAGAGGGGGTAAGAGCAACTGGACTGAGTGCCGTGCCCGCTGTGAGCAGCAGGGGCTCATTCACCTGGGGCAGCCGAAGGAATCTGGGGGACCCTGTGGCCATACATTTGTCAAGCCATCATAGAACCAAGTGGTAATTGGAAAAGTGCCTCAGTGAATGAAAATCCGCTCCGTTCACCAGCTTTGACTGGGAAAATATTTTGGGGTTGAATGCTTTTTAGTATCTTAAATTTTATAGCTGGTATGCTTTTTAAAATTGAGCCTTATTCATAAGGAAGAATATTTCTTTTAATGGAGCATTTACTTTTTCTCATGGAACTTATGGTGCTGTAGGCCTCATTCATTCAGCTGCCATTTCCTGGGTACCAATGTGACAACATTGGTCTAGATGCTGGGGACACATGGGGTCAATCAGAGACTCTCCTGCTCTCGAGAAGATCACTGATAGGGACTTGGGGGTGTGGGTGAGAAGGAGGACATCACATTGATAATAAGCAACCATTTACTGGGTGTTGACCACAAGCCGGGGGTTGACAGTGCATTATCTCATTTAATTCATAACTCTTAAGAGGAGTATGTTTTTGCCTAAGTTTTCAGAAGAGGAAATGGAGGGTAAGAAAGGGAGTCACTTGCCCAAGGTCACATGGTCAGTAGGCAGTAGAGCCGGGATGGGGATCCAGGCAGTTAGACCCCAGATTTTCACTCTCAACACTATGCTGCTTCCTGGGGTGCAAGCAAAAGGACAGAAGAAAGAACCAGCAGAGTATAGAGGGCAGGGCAGGGCAGAAGTGGGGAGGGGTCTCCAAACTCCCTGGCATTGCCGGAGGGTCAAGTACAAAGTAGGGGCCAGCTAGAGATAAGATGAAGAGGTTGGTGTAAGCCAAATCAGATGATTCTGTAGGTGTTCTTTGGAGCATGGGCTGCCTCCTAAGGCCAGTGGTTCTCAGCCCTGGAGTTGCATCAGAATCCCTGGGATGCTTGCAGAGAACATAGATTCCCAGGTGCCATGTCAGATGGATTCAGTCCGATCTTCATGGGCAGGGCTGAGGGAGCTACATTTATATAAGTTCTCAGGGGAACCTCTTGCCGTCAGCTTGGTGTTTGGGAAGCTGGCGGTGAAGAGATACTGAGGGGTGTTGAGCAGGGGAGAGGCAGACGCGTGTTCTAGATCTATCATCCTGGTAGGGCTTTGGAAGGCTGGGGAGGAGCTAGGAGATCGTTGCAGTGATCGGTGAGAGAGATGCTTTAGGGATGGAGAGGAGGGAGGCAGACCTAGGACAGATTTAGGAGATTAGATTAATGGTACTTAGTGGTGGTTTGGCTGTGAGAGCGGCGGGTGAAGTCAGGGGTCATTCCTGGGTATCAGGTGGTGTCCCCAACCAAACCAGCATGCCCTGGAGGGGAAGGGAACCAGCTTTGGGTCCCCCAAGAAGGAGGGGCTGGAGAGCAGTCGGATGGGAGCTGTGTAGGGGTGCCTTGCTGACACAGAGCCCAGAGGGAGAGAGAGCTCTGTGCCAAGGTACGGACGTGGGAGCCATGACCAAGGCGGTGGGTGAAGGAGGGTGGACTGCCCAGGATGACAGTGGGTGACAAGCCTCAAGGGTCAGAATCCCGTCTTGGCAGGAAAGCCTGAAGAAGCCCGAAGAGGAGTGCCAGAGAGACGGAGGGCGTCTGGGGAGCCCACAGGACGGAGGCAAGGAGGGGGCAGGTGCTAGAGGCATGCGCTGTGCTGGGACCCGCCACAGAGGTCTGCCCTCCTGTGAGACCAGGGCGAGCCCAGCAGAGGGCAATTCATGGGTTTTGCAAAAGAAAGTGAGGCCAGGGGGGAAAGTGAGACAGCACCCTGCGGGGCAGTGCGACAGAGGCTGTGTCTCCACTTGTTGCCTATTTTGGGAAAGTGAGATTCCTTATTAAACCCAGCACAGTGGAGCTCGTGGTCACAGTCCCGATCCAAAGCTCAAGAGGGACAGAGCAGGCTCAGGCAGGCCTGCTTTGGAGCAGGTGGCCCCTCCGAGGCCGCCAGCGCCACGCAGGGACACGTAGGGTCGATCCCTCTCCGAGCCAGAAGGCCTCGGAGCCGGGGGAGGCCGACGGAGCAATCGCAGGAAACTTCCGCCCTGCGGAACGCTTTCACTTCGCGTTGTGCTTCTCCAAAGGACGGACATGCAGCTTAGCAACATCAAAGACCAGTACAGGAGGAAGGAAACAAACATTTGCTGAACTCTTCTCTGTGCCAGGCCCGTTACATACATTATTTCATTTCATCCTCATAAGCAACCTTGGGACGATTTGGAATTATTACTGTCCCTCCCTTCGGAGAAGAAGAAACCGAGGCTTATAAAGGTGAAGGAACTTGCGTGAGGCTATTAAACCCTGAATGTCCACTGTGTGTGGACCTTGCATAGCATATTCCATGCATTGTCTAATTTAATCCTCACAACGCTGTGTAAGTAGGTAATAGGGCTGTCGCTCTCTGGCAGGTGAGGACACAGAGGCACAGAGAGGTTAAGTAACTTGCCCGAGCTAATGCGGCTAGGAGGTGGTGGAAACAGGATTCAAATCCAGGCAGCCTGGGAGTTGACTGTCCTCATGCAGACAATAAATGACTCCAAAGCTATACTCCTTCTATGACGCACTGTGTCAGTACCCTTGTTCCTTGGGGCCTGGGCTGCTTCCTCTGGGCTGTTTCCCAACAGAAACAGATGTGGTTTTACATAAATCATCCAGGTGAATGTGTGGCAGTTACATTTTGTAACTGATAGGAGATAAAAGGGAAGCCTCTGTTTCATGACTTCTCATGATCCTTCCAGTGATGGCTGTAAACTCGTCTTAGGGGGACAAGGTGGTCTACAAAGACGTTCTGGGGGAAACGCTGGGGGATGTCACCTCATCGTGGTGACAGAGTGGGTGCTGAGGGGAACCAGGCCTCAGGGCAGGAGATTTGGCTTAACGCCAACGTTGCTACGAGACCTTAGGTAAGTCTCTTCCCCACTCCAGGCTTCAGTTTCAATTGTGAAATGCAGGAGAGATGCTAAGATTTCTTTCAGCTTTCGGGTTCTGTGAATTTTCAAGAAATTTTCAAACAAAAAAAGCAAAAAAAAAAAAAATTTTCAAACATACGTAAAGGTAGAAGATGTCATATAATAAGCCCTCATATATTCATAGTCCAGCTTCATCCATCAGCTATATGGCCAATTTTATTCCCTCCATGCCCCCACGCATTCTCCCCTCCCTCCTCCAGTGGATTATCTTAAAGCCAATCCCAGACATCATCTCATCTCCTCTCTATATATCTCTCTAAAAGATGGCTTAAAAAGACAACCACAACGCCATTATCATGCTTGACAATTAAGAGTAACTCCTTAATATCATTGACTATGGAACTCAGCTATTTAAAAGTTTTGTTTGATGATACGGTGAAGGCCCCACTGAAGCTTCTAGTATCAATGATAGCACTTTCAGAACCTGTGGCCAGAGAACAGTCTTAGGATTGTAAGGTCACACCCCACGCTAAAAAAAGAACAAAACACACATCGCTTGAAGCACATAATCTTTTATGCGAAGAGTAGGAACATTTATGGAGAGTCTGCTTGCTGTGTGTCATACCCTGTCCTGGGCATTCCAAGTCTTCTCTCGCCTTTGATCTACTTTCCAAATGGGACCTCAGTGCGAAGCACAGTGCCATCTTTGTTAGAAAGCTTGTGACCCAACACAGGGAAAGAAAAAAAAAAAACAAATGGAAAAATATGTGTTCAATTTAAGCCATCAAAGTAAAAATAAATGGAGATTAAATGCTGTAACCCTGCAGCAGAAATAGTTTAAGGCCCCTGAGAAGAATGCATTTTCTTCTGAAAGTTCCCTGAAAAGAATGCATTTTCATTTTGCAGTGGGTCTCTTACGCTCTGCTCAAAAGGTAACCGAGCCCAGTACTCTTCGCCACGAGTGTTCCATGAAGCCTTACCTCTGAGTCTTTGTACTGGCTGTTCCCTCTGCCCGCAGTGCTCTTCCTTTTCCTCTCTCTGGCTTAGCTCTTCAGGCCCTCTTCTGGCATCTCAGCCCTCCCAGAGCTTTCAGCATTTGTTGCCTGCACTGTCCATCTGTCAATCTCGCCCTGTCAGTGATATCCCTTGTATCGCTCTCTTGAATTGCTATTTACATTCCTGCAAATCCGTCTGCTTTCCTTAATGCTGCGGCTCCTTGCCCAGGGCCTGCCAACCCACCACGGGCATGATGGGTTCCTGCATTTGTCAAGCCTTCACTGAGCGCCCGGAGCCCTGAGCTCAGGGTTTAGCATTGAAAAGTCACCAAGGCTTGGCCCCTGAGACTTCGCGCTCGCGCAATTCTCAGGCAGCCTCCAGGGTAAGAACTAGTTTCCAAGTTTATAGGCTGACCGACCGGTACATTGCCGGGTACTCAGATTATGTGTAGAAGAAGTCTTTCTTCCTCCAAAGATTTTTCAAAAGCAGGCTTAAGGAGTAGCTAATTGAAGAACACTTAGAGAGCGTTTCCTGCTTATGGACATTAATTGTGACAATTTACTTGGCCTGAATTAGCATGAAATCATTGGAGGCCCCTTAGCAGGAAGCAAAGCTCATGTGGACTATTAACCATTTAGCATTCTCTAAGCCCCAGGGAATGAAAATTCCACTTATTGAAGAGCAGCGGGGAGAGGCAGCCTTTATTACAGCTAAAGCATCCCGCTTGGAGATTTAGAAAGTTAGAGCCATACCCGGTGTGATAGGAAAAGTGTGCAAGAAGGAAGTGTGAGCACCTGGATACCAGCCGGGTTGCCCTTGAAGGTGTTGAAAAATAGAATCAAATTGGTGGTAAGGACTTTGGCGAAGTCTTGACAAGGCTTTTCTGGAATGGCAACTCAGACCAGGGTCTGCCGCTCGTGATGGTCACTGTGGCTGGCCACTTCCCAGGAGGGAGGAGTGTTGTTTCTGGGGGTGGGCTGGGGAGATGGATGTGGAAGGGTCTCTTTACTGGGGGTGAGCGCACTGTTCTCTTTGGGTAGATTTTTTTTTTTTTTTTTAAAGATTTTATTTATTTGACAGAGAGAAACACAGCGAAAGAGGGAACACAAGCAGGGGGAGTGGGAGAGGGAGAAGCAGGCTTCCCGCAGAGCAGGGAGCCCGACGCGGGGCTGAATCCCAGGACCCTGGGATCATGACCTGAGATGCTTAATGACTGAGCCACCCAGGCGCCCCTCTTTGGGTAGATTATTAATATGGCCTTGTCTGATGGGAGGGGGCAAGGAAGAGGGGGAGCCGGAGTGCCCAGGCCACAGGAAATGAGGGCAGGGGAGGGAGCAGGGGGAGTAGCCGAGTGACAGGAGGTGGGGAGGCACTCTCAGGTGCAGAGTGTGCCTCTGAGGGCCAGGGGCACCAGTTCTGAGGATCAGTCTCTAGTGCTCGGCAGCCCCGCCCCTCACTTGACTTGGCTGCCTATGAGAAGCCAGTTTTGTTTTGCTTGGGACCGTCAGGTGGTAAGCTGCCACTCTTTCTGGAGAATGCAAACAATATTTATTTACAGAGACCTGGTCCACTGGTCCTTGACTGGGGCAGGCACAGGCGGGTGCCCTGCAGGAGTCCTGGGATAGCTTTCTCTAGACTCACAGGTCTGGATCCCACCTCGGACTTACTGTGTCCGGTCCCCAGGGGCAGGCTCTGGGGCACAGGATTTGGGTGGGCTCTTCAGAGGGTTCTGTGGTGCACCCTCAGCTAGAGCCCCTGGCCTCACTCAGGCCGCCCTGGACCAGGTTCTGGGGAGGCACACCTCTAGGGTGTTCACTACCCGTGTGGGCGGCTCATTCCATCTTTGGCTTTGCTCTTGTGTCTTCTACAGTATTTGCTCAATCTCTCCTCTATGTGGGTCCCTCAGATACTGAAGGATTATGCTTCCGTCTAAATACTCATGTTGTTTCTTGGTTAACAGCTATTAAACCAGTCTCTGGGGCGGTCTGAGTTGGGGATGCGCTAAGAAAGAGGACAATAGAAAAATGAAAAAGCGACTCTAGTGCTAAGATAGAGAAAGATATGGTAGAATAGAAGTATTTGCAAATATAAAGATATAAATACTGTTTTTCTTTTCTGATTACAAAAGTAGTGCTTGTTCCCTGTGAACACTTGAAAACACTGAAAACCCAAAGAAGAAAACAAAAACCCCTCGAATCCCACTTACCAGAGACAACCATTGTTAATATTTTCGTGGGTGTCTTTCTCATTAAACTACAAATTTGTAAACTACTTCCTTTTCTCTCCCAGTGACAAGATTATTTTTTTGAATTTCATTAACATTAGCCCATGCCATCCTTACTGAAAGCTGCCTTGTATCAGTCAGTCCCAGATTAGACGCTGGGACTCAATGGTGATCAGTCTTCCGGAATTTTGAATTACTCTTAGTCACGGGGGACCCGACTGAACTCAGCCTCTTGCCACAGTGTGACACCCCCCCCCCCCGCTCCCTGCCAAGTCCTGACTCTGGCTCATGCCTACTTGTCCAGGTCCAGTGAGTCTCAACAACTTTTGTGTTGATTGGGACTTTGATCTGAACCCGTCCAGGAACTGCGAAGGTCCTGCCTGTACCTGAGAAGAGCTTCTTGAACTTGAGGTCCCACAACTTTTCAGTTGAGCATCAACCCACTGATATGGGTGCTGAAATTCCCTGCGGGGCCTGCCTCTTCAGATCTCCCCAGTACTAGAACAGTTAATGCTGAGTGAAATAAATCAGGCAGCGAAAGACAAATACCGTATGATTTCACTCCTATGTGGAATTCAGAGACAATACAAATGAGCAAATAAAGAAGAAGAAGAAGAAGGGAAAAAAAGGACAAACAAAAAACCCAGACTCTTAAGTACAGAGAACAAACTGGTTGCCAGAGGAGAGGTGAGGGCAAGGGAGGGGAGACAGTACCCTATCTTTAGGAGCACTGAGAAATGTAGAGTTGTTGAATCATTATACTGTACACCTGAAACTAATATAACCCAGTATGTTAATTCTACTAAAAAAAAAAAGAAAAGAAAGAAAAAATCCCCAAAGCCTATGGGTAGCCCTAAGCTTCTGTGGTCGGTGGAGGGAGAACTGTTTTCCAATCTAGGGTGCATGGCTTTCCCACAGGACCTTACTACTAACCCGGTTTGTGACCTTGGGAAGGGGACCAACTCTGAGCCTCAGCCTTTTCCTCCATGAAATGGGGAGACTTAGCCCTCTCCAGCCTAACTCACAAAGTTGGAAGGATCAAATGAGACAACGCGGGTCAAAGTGCTTTGTAAACCGCAGTGAATCAGGCAAACCTATGTTGCACGGGATAATTGGCCTCCCCATAGAGCCCGGCGAGAAGGTGCTGACTCAAGCCTCTGTTGTTCTCCCAGACAGCGTGGACTCATTGGCTGCATGAGCTTTGGGGTGAAGTCCCTCCTGACTCCGGACAAGGTGGGTCCCGGGGACGCTTCTGGCAGGATCATCCCACCAAGGCCAGGGCTAGCACGGGCAGAGGCCTTTGTCTGGAAGCCCTTGGGTGGAGCTTCTGTCTCGCATGCTTCACGACCTGAAGAACAACACTGTTTATCGTCCGAGTGACCAAGGCTTTGGGTCTTCTTCTTGGGTTTGTGCTTGTCAGAGATCAGTTGTCAGGCAGCCCCTAGGCCTTCCAGGGGGCTCTGGGCCTGGTGTCTGGCACACCAGGACGCTGGCAGATCCCCCGGAGTTCTGAGCACTCCTGGGCTTGCCCCGGAGGAGGAGGGCTAGGTGGTTCTCATCCTCTTGACATTATCTACCAGGTCTCGTGTTTTTGGGTCTAGCAAGTGCTCAGGGATGGAGTGAGCAGCACCATCCTCTATGGAGCTTTCCTTTAGACTGAGTGAGGACTCTCTGGAATCCAGAGACCCCTCCCTCTGGGTAGCCAGTTCCTTATCCACCTCTGCATTCCCCCCCCAACCCCGGCCCCAAACTGGAGGCTTTTGAGCAGGGGAGGTGGAGACACTCCTTTCCCACACATCCCTAGAGATGTCCTGGTGGCCTCTGCATGGAGTTGCCAGGTGGCCTGCCACTTTGTGTTCTGGAAGTGAAGTCTGGGATAGGTGGTGAGGACCCTTTATCCTGCATGTAGGTCCCAAATAGCTTCTCTGGCCTGCGGTGCTGGCTTCATTCTCTCTTGGGAAATGCTCCCTGCATGGGGACTGCTCAGGAGCCTTAGGATGCCCACCTTCTGGCCTCTCCATCCCTCTTTCACTCCCTCCCTTCTGTTCTGTCAACATTCATTGGGCTCCTACTGTATACCAGGCAGAGTGCTAGGCCCATCGGAGAGCCTATGCACAGCCCAGTGGGGAGGCAGGCATGCAAGCAGACCGTTGTTCTCCAGGGACAACAGGCTGTGGGAACTCAGCAGAGAGGATGAGCAGCTCTGCCTGGAGCATCAGGGAAAGCTTCCTGGAGGTGTAGGCGTGGCAGCTCCCTCTGGGGCAGGGCGGCTGAAGGGTCTGTCTCTGCAGAGATGATGCTCTTGAGGGAGGCTCTCCAGGGGCTGCTTTTTGAGGGGGGGCTGGTAGCTGCCTGACCTGTGTCCTCTGCCTCTGTCTGAGCATGTCACGCCTTCCCTTGTGACAGGAAATCAGCGGCTGGTACTACCTTCTGGGGGAAGACCTGGGCCGGACCAAGCACCTGAAGGTGGCCAGGCGGCGGCTGCGGGCCCTGAGAGGTGGGTGCGCCCCGCCTTCGGCTTCTGCCCAGATGCGCTGCTCCACCCACCCCCTTGCCTTCCCCCTTCCCTCCCTTCCTGAGGAGTAGCATTGCCCCTGTGTTTTGTGGCATCTGTCACCCCTCGCTGCAGTCAGGGCGGGGTCCAGGGGCTTCTCACGAGCACCTGCTGGAATGCAGGCTGCAGGCAGCATTTGCCCACAACACCTTGTTTTTGTGGTTGGACTTTCCTCGGAGAGGATTATAGGCCTGACCCTATGTAGTTCAGCTCCCTCCACTCTAGCTTATGGAGGTCTGGGTTTCAGGAACTTCCTGCCTGGCTCCTCTGTGATGTCAGGATCAGCCCCAGGTTGCCTTGCTGGCCTTGGGGAGTCCACCTCGATAGGCAGGGCAAGTGGGCCCTGCCATGAGTCCTGAGGCTCAGGTCTCGGATTCTGTGTTCCCTTCTGTTCTGTCCTTCTCACACGCAGACCTGGCTCCTGATACCCTGCTGAGCCTGAGCTCAGGCACCCCCACATCTTGGAGGCCGGCAGTGACCACATGGGCCCGGCATCCTGACCTTGTCCTCTGGGTGGTCTCTGGAATGGACTCTTATGTGCCAACAGAAACTTTTTGACTCTGCTCTGTCATCTTACAGACCCGCTGCTGAGAACGCCAGGAGGTGGGGACACTGAGAATGGGGAGGAATTCAAGGTAGGTGGGGACAGGCCTGGGAGGGACTCACAGGCCTGGGCCCTGCCCTGGGCTCTAACTTGCTCCTGGTCCGTCCGTTGGCCCAGGAGACCCCTAAACAGGACTGCATTTGGGGCCCGAGACTCAGGTTCACTTGGAGCTTCGAAATTCAGCAAGTCATGCATTTTTAAGGGGTTATTTCTTATGCTTTTCTCAGTTTACTCATGGTTATGGCAGCAGTGGTGAGAGAGCCAGGCCCCAGCCCCTGGGGATGGATCTTACTGACCTTCAGTCTCTTGAATCCAACTCTCCCCTTCCCCCCAGGCCCCCTCGGACCGCTTGCTTCCCCTGGCACTGTGGCCGAATCACCCTCCGCTTAGGCCTGCTTGAGGTCAGGGAGCAGCCATGAGGCTGAACCTGAGACCCATGGGCTCTTACTCCACTAGGGCTTTGAATCAAGAGAGGAACCTTCACAAAGGGATTTGGGGGCATTCCCCCAAGTTCATTCCGTCTCTTTGCGGGACCTGGTTTTCTCTAACAACTAAGAGAGGGAGAAGCAAACTGCCCCTGACTGAGACGCCCCTCTGTGCCAAGTGCTGCTATTCCCCACTTTAACCCTCACTCCCTTCTCTGTGGCGGTCCTTACTTCCCCATCTCACAGAGGTCAGGTTCAGAGAGGTTAGGTCACTCTCCTGAGTACCCTGAGCCACACTGCCTCCTGCACGCGGCCTACTTGGGAAGATACGGTGGTGCTGTTTCCCCTGATAATATCTTCCATAGAGGTGTATTATATCCTACAAAATGTTTTCTCTTTCATTTACTCCGTTCGTTCGTTCGTTCACTCACTCACTCACTCACTCACTCACTCACTCACTGTTGATTGAACATTCTCAGGGGCCAGACCCTGGGCTGGGTGCTGGGATATAGCCATGAGCAAGTCGACGTTGTCCGCCCTGTGCAATGTGGTAGTCACTAGCCACTAGCTCTTGAGCCCTTGAAATGTGGTTAGCGTGACGGAGGACCTGACTTTTTCATTTTATTTCACTTGAATTAATTCAAATTCACGTTGCACTTGTCTTGTCACTACCCTGTTGGATAGCACAGTTATTAAGTTATTAAAATAACTTGCTGGTTACTGTATTCTGTGGCTTCATTTGAAGCTTAAAATCTTCTAGCTTCAAGGGCACCTGGGTGGCTCAGTCGGTTAAGCGTCGAACTCATGATTTCGGCTCAGGTCATGATCTTGGGGTTCGTGGGATCAAGCCCCACATCGGGCTCCACCCTCAGCATGGAGCCTGGTTGAGATTCTCTCTCTTTGTCTCCCTCTGCCCCTCCCCCTTCTTGCTCTCTCTCTCTCTCTCAAATAAAGAAATATATCTTTTAAAAAACCTTCTAGCTTCACTGGAGTTGCTGCAAATACCTTCCTCCCTCTCTCTCTACTTCCTGAGCACAGGGAGGACAGTGACTAGAGAGCCCTGGTGATTGTGGGAGTGACATGACATGGACATCAACACTGCAAGTTTCCGGGCGGCTTCATTCTGGATCTGCACACAGGCCCTGACCCGTGGGCACACTCTTCTGAGGCCCATTTGATTTTCCTGGGCTTGCACACTCAGAGATGTCCATGGGACCCAGCACAGTGGGGGTGCTTGTCAGAAGGTGACTTAGTTGGACTGAGGGAGAGCCCCCAGAGGTCCTACTAAACTTCCCCATGGTGCACATGGGGTGATGGAGTCCCAGAAACCTGCGTGACCTGCCCACTGTCATAGCAACCAAAGCTGGGCTGTACCGAGGGCCACTCTCTGGCCTCAAGGACAGGAGTGGCTGTGGGTTTCCCCAGGGATGGTGAGGTGGGTATAAGGGGCGCTGGGCTCACCAGGTACCGCTCTGCAAGGCAGGGAACAAGACTGGGGTTCTGGTCCCAGCTCTGCGTACCCTGCTATGTGACCTTAACCATTGTGGTCCCCAGCTTCTTGAAGGGTAGAATGAGGAGGCTGGGTCATCTGGTGATTGGAATTCCCTTCCTGATTTGCCTTTATGGTCTGCATGTCATCAGATGCCTAATGCTGTTGCCTGGCTAAAGAAACTGACTTTTAAGTAGCTTGTGAATGGCAGGCTGTTCTCAGACCCACATGTTTCATATTCTCCGTTTTGAGATGGGGTGTCTGTGAGTGCAACCCCCTAAGGTGTCCGTGGATTCTTTAGATGGTGTTAGTCCTCTGGATTTGCTACCGGGGACGCTGGGATTTGCAGGGGGCGGTGGCGTTGTTATAGAGGGGGCCGTGTTTTCTGCCTGGGTTCTCTTTCAGCCAGGGGTGTTTGTGAGAACACTGGAATCACAAAGTGGCCCATGGCGGAGAATGCAGCCAGAACAAAGGCGCCCTCTCCCCGCCAGGGCCGGGGGAATACTAACTAGTTGACAGGAATTTTAATATAAAACTCTCCCTCTTCCTTGTCATTCTGAGGTTTCAGGAAGCCTTCAGGCTTATCGTGCAGAGGCACACAGCACAGACAGGGCTTGGGGAGGTGAGAGGTGATTTCCTGCCATTCTTCTGCGGGGCGGGCTTCCCAGGGCGGTCATGCCAGGCTGACGGGGCGCAGTGCGGGCTCCCGCTGCTGGGGGGAGAGCTGGGATTTCATGGGGCGGCAGCCGAGACAGGACCCGCAGCCATGAACCGCTTCAATGGGCTCTGCAAGGTGTGCTCGGAGCGCCGCTACCGTCAGGTGGGTGCTTGGCCCTTTAGGGGTGCCCGGGCTGTCACTGGGGGTCGGGGCTGGGGGCTCACCTGAGCAGGACTTCTCTCCCCACGAGGCCTTCCTTGCCTGTTCCTGCTCCTTGTAGGTTAATTTCAATCTGGGGGGAGGATAGAGGCCGGAGCCGGCCCCAAGGTCCACCCTTTACCTACGGCCCCTCTCTAGGGGCAGACCAGGCCCAGCTCTGCATCATCCTAACCACGGACATGGTGGTGTCCTTGGTGAGGTTATCTAGTTGATTCTCTGTTTTTTTTTTTTAATCTGGGGGCAATGTGGGTTTCAAAAAAGCATCTCAAGCCTGAGATTGGAAGTGGCTGAGCAGCTGGGTTTTGTGTTTTTCCTAACTTTATACTTTCACGAATTTTCCCTACTTCTGATGGGACAGGAATGCCTTGTCCTGCACTGTATGTGTGTGACTCTGTGTGTTCACATGTGTGGCATGCACTTCTTTGTGAGATGGGATGTTTCCGTGTATACGTGCGTACACATGATTTCCTCCCTGGTAGCTGCCATGCCTTGAGGTGGCTCCAGAGCCCATCCTCACAGAGAGGGCTCTGCCTCTCAGCCTCCAGTTCTGGGATGTGGGGCAGGGTGGGAGTGATGATCCCGTAGCCTCAAGGCCTTTCTGGAACTGTGTTGGGCACTTTTTCTTATAAACAAGGAAGGGGGTCAGGGAGGGTGAAGGCAAGGGATGTCCAGATTTTGGGACTGTCCAAGCTGATGGGAGCTCAGGAATGGTTCTGATTTTAAAAGTATAGGAAAGCCCCTCTGTGTATTGTAATGGCCAGACTGAAATGTGGGTCCTGACTCCTGCAGACAGGCAGCCTTAGGGTCTAGGGAGATGCCCAGAGTGGCCTCCTGCACCTTGGCTTGCCGCCATTGGACCCTAGCACCCTGGGACCCACCTGTTCTCCCTGGCATCCTTCCCAGCTCTCAGGGCCCCTCCTGTCCTCCCGGCCCTCCTGGAGCCCAGCAGAACAGCTCCCATGACACCAGCAGCTGGGTGTAGGGTGGTGGGGCGGAGGGCGCTGTTTAGGAGGTGAAGTGTTTGGTCACCTTGGGCCTGTGGGCCAGAAGACAGGCACGCAGGCTGTCAGAGCGGAGCTGGGCATGAGTGCGGGCGGGGCTTGGGGCTCTGGGACTGAAGTTCAAGACAGATCCTATGCTAGGAACCAGCCCAGGGTTTTGAGCACCAGCTTTTTGCCCTTCTTTAGCTGTGGCATTTGAGCATGTCACTAGACCTCTCTGAGCCTCAGTATCCTCGTCAGTGGAGTAGGGATGGTAATGTCCAGTGATGGTGCTCTGCGGGACACAGAATGCTGTGTACAAAGTACCTGCTGCAAGGCCTGGGATGTACATATAGGACATGTTCAGTTAGGGATGGGGATGGAAGCCTAGACATGACAGAGGAGCAGAAAGCAGGCAGGAGGGCAGAGGTGAGATGCCGGCCTGGGTGAAATCTGGGAGCGGTGACAGTCCCTGCCCTGGACAGGAAAGAGCAGGGACCACCCCCAGGAAGGACAGCCTCTGCCAGGAGCTGCCGAGATCTCAGAGTCTGGGCCAGGCTGCTCCCCTTACCTCCTAACCCTGATGCCCCGGGTCACGGAGGAGGGCCGAGAGCTGGGGGCTGCCACTTCCTCTCTTTAGGCCTCGGCTTCCTTCTCTGTGAAATGGGCATATTAAAGCCAGTCCTGCATTCCCCTCAGGGCAGCAGCGATGATCCAGTTCTTTGGGCACTCTCCTCTCAATGCAGTGAGTCTAGTGATGGACAGATCGTAATTCTGCTTCCTTTATGAGGTCCCACCCCTCACACAGAGCCAGGAGGGGACCTTGCTTCCTGGCACCCTTTCCTCTTCCCTTCCTTCCCAGCCCCCAGCTGACTTGGACTGTTGTCTGGGCTGGTTCTTCTTACTGAGGCTGGTGCCTTGGAAGGCAGAAGGGGCTTGGGCCCACAGTCCCGCCTGGACGAGGGGACCAGGGTGTGGGAGGGGGAAACTGTTTTTGCGGGAGTATATTTCTTCTCTCCAGATTCAACTCTGGGGGCCAGTCCCCAAACTGCTAGCCCTGAGCCCATGGGCGCTAAGTCCTGTTTGCAGAGCCAGCATCCCAGGCAGGGGGGCTGTGGCCCTTGCTGGGGTAGGACGGGGTCTAGAAAGGTCTAGAAAGCCTCTGGAATCCCACCTTCTGCCTGGGCTGAGGGTGGGTTGAGAGGCCCCGTGAAGTCCTCACTGGTCGCACAGAGTGGACCGGGCTCCTGATGGCTTCCCTCAGTCTCAGCCTGGGCTTTCCACACTCACTCCACAGTTTGTTTTTCTTTCTTTCTTTCCATTTTTTTCTCTTCCTGTCTTAGCCGCATGTTTTCCCAGAATTCTTATGGGAACAGGGTATTTTCCTGCCCCCTCCCCCTTCCCCTTGTCTGTCAGATTTCCTGTTTTACAAACTCGCTTTGAATCCAGGCCCAGGGCTGGTGGGAAGCAGAGCCTCAGGGACCTCCCCGACAGCCTCCAAGGGCCTTGGTCACCCTGGGTCCCCCGGCCCTCCCCTTCCTCATGCCTGGCCTCTGGGACAGCTGGTAGGTGAATGCCAGGCACCTAGCCTTGAAGAGACAGCCCCTAAAGGAAGGAGACCGGAGTCTCCTGACAAGGCCTCTGGCCCTTGACCTTTTCCAGCTTGCTGAGCTGGCTTCTTCTTCAACTTGCCTGGGACACCCTCCCTTGTGCCTCACCAGGGCCCCCTCCGTGTCCACTTCTCCTAGGGACTCTCTTGGGACCCCAGTGAACCCTTCTTCTGACTTTTCCTCCCTTAGGCCTGTCACTTTCACATACCTGCTCTGAGCAGCCTGGAATCACTCGTTGGGCAGGCAGGGTCTGGGCCTCCTGTACCCCACCCACAGCCGAATGGGCAGTGCACAGAGGGGCCACGTAGCAAGGCTGAACTGAACCGAGCCAGCAGACGGCACTGTACCCTAACAGTTTCCTGCTGCGGATGGGACGGTGCTGGGCTGTCCTCGCGAAGCACTCGCTCGGTTCCTGCCGTGCACCCAGCCTGCCATCCAAAGTCAAACACAAAGAACTGTTCCCAACTCAGTTCTCGTACTTCGCTCCAGGGCACTCTAGTACAGTGCTCCTTTGCTTTGGAGAGATCTGCAGATTCTTGTGGCCCTCTAGGAGCCAGAGATCAAGCCCTCATGCCTCCATACCTCAGCAGAACCTGGCATGCATGCTAGGAGCTTGATAATTGTGTGTTGCTTTGAAAAGAGATCCAGGTGGCAGGGCCCTTTCAGGGGACTTCTGGAAGTAGGGTTGTGGATCTGCCATGCAGGAGGCACTGCGAGGTCAGTGGCTAGTTCAGGTTTTGCCAGGAGGCCTGTCTGTGCCCTTACGTGCCCTCTCCCCTGGGAGTCTTCACTGGATGCCTTGAGGCCCCAGCGATGGACTGCCCTGAGAACCTAGCACTTGTTCCCTGGCCCTCATCCTGAAGTTTTATGTGCGTCCCTGTCTTCCCTCCCCTGTGCTCTGGGAAGGCAGCACCCAGGTGGGTTTTGTCTGTGGGCCCTCAGCGCAGGGCCAGCCCTGGGCCGATGCTCTGTGAACCCCTGGAAGGAAGAAGCAAGAGACCGAGAGTCAGTGGATCACAGGCAAGATGGAGGCGGGCAGGTCCAGGGGGCTCTTTGGACTGGCCCATGTGTCTGCGGGGTCTGAGGAAGACGAGGCTTACCCTTCCAAGGTTCTGTCCATGCTGAGCCCTTCTGCATCAGCCTGGATTTACCTCCTGAGCTCCCAGCCTTCCTGCTTGACTCACAACCCAGTGCTTAAGATGCCTGGGCCAAGATAGGGACAGCAAGGGCTGGCCAGCCTCCTTCTTGGCTCTAGCTCCCTTGGAGAGGAGGATGGCTCTGGGGCAGGGCCCGTGGGCTTCCCGACCCTGGAGCAGAGGCAGCTGCCTTGTGGCTTCTGGGAGTAACGGCACAGGGCTCTGTCCTAGATCACCATCCCGAGGGGGAAGGATGGCTTTGGCTTCACCATCTGCTGTGACTCTCCGGTTCGAGTCCAGGCTGTGGATTCTGGTAAGTGAGCATCTCGGCGGATGCCAGCCCCACTTGCCTGCCATGTGCCTGGCTTCATGTGGGATCTGGAAGGGGAGCCCCAAACTGGAGCAGTGTCCTGGTTTTTCAAAACAAAAGAATAATATTTTTAAATGACCACAGATGAAACGGAGGTTTATGAAAATATATCCACATTTTTTTTTGTTTTTATCAAAATGAAAATATATTTTTTTTCTATTTTGTTTCCCAATCATGTTAACAGGAACTAAACCTACATTTTCAGTAAGGGTTGCATGGGAAAATGAGAGTCATTTATGGACTTCATTGGGAATGGGTATTTTATTCTATTCCAAGCCTGATTAGCACTTAAAAATAGGCATTCCCCTCCCTGTTTTTCACAAAGACTTCTCCTTATCGTGGAGGAGAAGCCAGGGCTTGGTGATCTGGGTGTTCCCCCATCCCCCTGCCCCCCTGTGCCTGCATGGGGACGGGCATAGGACTGGCGCTCAGTGAACGGTGTTGAAGGAATGAATGAAGTGTGTGAGCCTGGCAACAAGGAAGGATTCTCTAGGGGGTGGGAGGCCCTGGGGAGAGTGAGGTGGGACCTGGCTGGAAGAACGGATAGCTGAAGAGTGAGCAGGCAGAGGAGCTGAGGGTGAAGGGGTGCCTCCCTTCAAGGCCCCTGAGAGCCACCAAGGTCGGCCCCGCATTTCGCAGATGAGGGAACAGAGGGGCAGGGCAGTGTGCCCCTTGTTGAGGTCACTGTGGAAGCCATGACTGTAGGCCCCTGGACAGTGTCATGAGCTCCACGGGAGCCCTTGGGTGGCTTTTCTCTGTCCCTGCAGGAGGTCCAGCCGAGCGGGCAGGGCTGCAGCAGCTGGACACGGTGCTGCAGCTGAATGAGAGGCCCGTGGAGCACTGGAAATGCGTGGAGCTGGCCCATGAGATCCGGTGACAGGGGCAGCGGCGGGGGGGCGGGGTGGGGAGGAGGCGGGGAGGCTTTGGGCCTCAGGCTAATGGCACAGCTGCCCCCTGCCCCCTGCCTTGGGCACAAGGCCTCACCCTCCCCTCCTCGGCGCAGCTGTGAGCAATTCACTCTGCTCCTCAGGGACTCAGTGTCTTGGCCTGCAAATGGAAGGTTCAGGCTCAGAGCAATTTTGGATTGCCTGGAGCAAACAGCGGCCAAGACGCTCTCAAACAGACCCTACGGTTCCTGTTGCGGCTCCAGGGTGGCCCTTTCTACTCCAGCTCATTATTTCTGTGACTTCAGAGCTAAGCCTGTTGTTTTTAAAGGATGTGTAGATGTTGCAAATGTTTCAAGTGCATACTTGAAAAATTATTCTTTAGAATGTTTGGGTCCCCTAAGTTTTGGCCCGCTGGAGTGAAACTCTCATGACCATTTTAGGTATACTTCTAGAATGACTGGACGTGGGGTTGCACAGAGGTGGCTTGCTCGCTCCTCCTTGCTTAGACTCTGCCCGTGGCCGACATCACTAGTAGAGTCTGGTACTCTTGGTTAACCTGGCCTTGGCCTCAGGGTCCTTCTTAGCCACTGCCAGTCAGCTAGAGTTGACTGATCTAAGGAACGCTTTTGCTGTCTCAGCTTGAGATGGCCCCTTACCTCCCTTCCTGCCCGACTACTGGGGGCTTCTCTCCCCTCCCCCACCCTTCTTCTCTGCCCTGTAGGCCCCTGCCCTGGCTGACTTTCCCCAAACTCAACTTCTTTGTGTCACCCCCGCCCCCCTCCCCACCCCACCCCCCAACTGTAGGAACTGCTCCAGTGAGATCATCCTGCTCGTGTGGCGCATGGTCCCCCAGGTCAAGCCGGGGCCAGACGGCGGGGTCCTGCGACGGGCCTCCTGCAAGTCGACGCACGACCTCCAATCCCCCCCCAATAAGCGGGAGAAGAACTGCACCCATGCGGCCCAGGCGCGGCCTGAACAGCGCCACAGCTGCCACTTGGTGTGCGACAGTTCCGACGGGCTGCTCCTCGGGGGCTGGGAGCGCTATACAGAGGTGACCAAGCGCGGGGGCCAGCACACCCTGCCCGCGCTGTCCCGCGCCACCACCTCCACTGACCCCAACTACATCATCCTGGCCCCACTGAACCCTGGGAGCCAGGTATGGACAGCCGGTCTTGGGGGAAGGCGGAGGGTATGGGCCCCTGGCCTCGCACTACAGGTGTAGGGAGGAGCCTGCAAGGGGCTGGAAGTGTTCAGGGAGGAGGCGGGGTATGTGTCAGCTTCCCTCCAGAGATGGCTGTTCTGGGGAGAGAGAGCAGATGGGTACCTGCGGCCCAGGACACAGATCCAGGCCCACGGGATGTCACAGGGAGGAAGATTTCACCTCAAAAGAAGGAAGATCTTTCTGCCAGTCTCTGCTTTTTCTACAGTGTGGAGTGGGCTGTGGTGAGAGGGCTGTTCCCCCTGTCACGGGTGGGAACCCAGACACCGCAGATGGCACGGTGGGCCGAGGAGTATGCACACCAAAACGTTGGTCCCATGGGACACTCTGGGGGAAAAGTGTCCCGAGGTCAAATAAGCTTGAGAAATACCCCAAACTCTCCTCCTCTTCTGGGAGATTCCCAGTGCACAGTAGCCTACTCGAGTCTCTGGGGGTGTCTTGCGGGGGAGGATGGTTTCACCCAGCATTTCCCCAATTCCCCTGACGGCACACCCTTTGTGGCGGGCCTGGTAGTGACCCATGGCGCCACCGTCGCCTGGAACGCACTTTGGAACAAGCCACCATCAAGAAAGCTGGGGACACGGCCAAGGGGTTACACTGGATGAACGTTAAGGCTCTGTCCAACTCTTAACATTCTAGAGGATTCTGGAATCTGTAATCCCTCCAAGCACCACCCTCTGCTCCTTAGCCAGGGCTGCTGGGTCTTGTGCCCTGAGGTGCTCCCTTCCTATGGCTAGGCTGCGGGTGAGCAGCCTGCCTAGTTGTCCCTCCCCGTTCCTGGGGCTGAGGTGATTCTTCTGTCTTCTTTTGCAGCTGCTGCGGCCTGTGTACCAGGAGGATGCCATCCCCGAAGGTGGGTCTGTCCTCCGCTGCTGTGCCCTCCAAGCCCCAGAGAGATGTGAGGTCAGCCGTCCGGAACCCCGCACATTGACACGGACTCTCTTTCCCCTCCATACCCGTTCTCCCTCTCTGAACCAGTATCTTTCCTCCTTGGAGCCTGAACTGAGCAGGTAGAAGGGGTCTTCCCACAGCAGTCTAGGAGGTGGTGTTCAGGATTCCGGCATTCGACTGGGACTCATTCCATTTTACTGAGCAACCGATATGTGTTAGGTGCCATACCTGGTCGGGCCCGCTCAAAACAGGGGCATGGAGGGCTCAACTCGGAGTTGCATGATTGTGAACAATCCACGTCCCCTCCCTAAGCCTCAGGGAGTTCAGTTTCTTCATCTATAAACTGGGGCTGACAGTTCCCACCTCAGAGAGTTGTCGGGAGGGGTAAAGGAGAGACTGACTGTGAGTAGGAAGTGTGCCCATGGAGGGAGGCTACACAGAAGATGGCTGTCCTTGAACTGCAAGGGCGTCTCTGTACCCGTTCTTCTCCTTTGGCCTTTGAATCTTGGCCCTGTGTTTTAAGAGCCAAGGGGAGAAGCTGAGCTCAAAACCAGGGCCCCCTCAGGACGCCTGAGATACCAGTCTTGGTGCTGGAACTGGTAGGGCATTCTGGAAGGCCCTCCACGTGCCTGCCGGGGTCCAGCCGACTCAAGTCCAGCTGGTATCTGGAAGGTGGGGACCAGCCTTGCCTGGTGGTCCTATGCTCGAGGCTTTTCTCTAGTGCCTACAGAATGCCTGGTGACTTCCTTCCTTGAGAGGGGCCTTTTCCCAGCCGCTTGCAGACTCACTTCCTTGCCGCCTTCCCCATCCGTGGTGTGAAGTCGATGCTGGCTTGTAGCGGGTACTTGGAAGAATGCCTGGGCCTTTGGGGGTTGGGGGGAAAGGGCTCCCATCAGGCCCAGAGCTGCTGATGGAAGGCATCTGCATTCCCTCTAGGGTAGGCCATTTGGATGGATGAGCCTGGTCTGTTGGAAATGCATCTGTGTTCCTTCTGGAGAGGAGTCTGATAGTTATTCAACACTGAGTTCTTAAAAAGCTTTTAGTCAGCGCATTAGGTTAGAGTGGGGTGTCACTGCTAAACGGTGACTTCATTAAGGCAGGGCCTCGGCCGGCTCATCTCTGAGGACCCGGTGCTGGCCCTGGGGTGTGGCAGACAGCAGGTACTCAGTAGAATTTCAGCCGAGTGACTGAGTGAAGGAGAATGACCCTGGCTGGTTGCTGCTGGGCTTTGAAGGCTGGTCACGGAGCTCAGGAGCTGGAGAGCCTGCTGCTTGCGGTGGGCCGGTGATGTGGGATCGAGTCCTTCTCGGCCTGACACGTGCCTCTCGGAGCCCTCCCATCCAGGGTCAACGTTTTGATTCCCCTCTGAGAATACAGTATTGAGTGAACCAAGGACATAGTCATCTAGGCCACGGAGAGAGAGGGACAAGTAAGGAGATGTGACAGTGTCCACAACAGTGGTAGCTTTTTGAAGGCATTGGATTAAGAACTTGACCTTCCTTCATTTGCTCTTCACAGTAATGGCTGTTTTTGGTATGCAAGGATATCTTGGCTCTTTATCAGCGATCAAGTCTTCACAGCTCCCAGTCCTGGAGTTCAGAGGAAGGGGTGGGACTGAACCTTCCCTTAAACACACTCGGGGTTCTCCAGAGGCCCGGGGCGGTCACCATGGTGTTGACTTCTGCCTCCTCCTCTGGCTGGGCCGCCTGGCCTCCTTTTGCAGGGGCAGGTTGAGCCATCCAGAGTTGAGCGGTGTCTGGTGCCCTTCTGAGGCCTAGGGCGCTTGCTGCTTGTAGTTGACATGTTCCCTGGGGCCGCTGGTGCCCTCAGCATTGTCCCCTGCGCTGCGAAGGGGCCGAGCCTCAGATTCTCCAGGACCAGAGCGGGATGGCTGCCAGGGCTCGCCTTGGAAGCCGGAGCAAAGCTGAGTAATTATTGTGTTTGGTCAGTGGAGCAGGTGATGTGGGGGTTTGGACCAGGGGATGTTAAGGTGGGAAGTCAAGGAGTTTGACTTCACAGAGCTCAGTAGCTGGGTTGCAACCCGGGCTGGTTTTAAAAAAAGGTACTTCAGAAAATCCATTTTGGAGAGCCACGCCCACTTGCCACAAGTTATCCAGGGGTGTGTGGAGATGGGGCTCTCAGGTGTGACCGCTGCATATGTTGGGTCCATCTTGCTTTATACCTTATACTGGTCGAGTATCCTCGGGCAGGTCACCCAGTGCTCAAATTCAAGTGTCTTGTCCAGCTCAAATTCAGGGCAGGTCTGGAGACACAGGATGGGTTCTTTCAGCAAAGAGGAGAGGCCTGGCAGCACACACACCCCTCTGGGGCTGAGGTCGGGGGCCAGATCAGAGGAGGGGCTGTGGAACTGCTTCCATGCATCCATCCTCCCCGGTCCCCGCTCCCTTCCCCAGCCCGTGGGCTCACATTCTTTCTACTCTTCTCTAAGCCACTGCTTGAAGAGGCAGGAAGTGGTTTAAGTTATTATGGTTTGAGTCCTGCCCTAAGATATGGCTGTGATGGCTGTGATCGGTGGTCACTTGTGATGGGGATCTGGCTTGTTTTTCTCACCCGGCTCGGTGAGAAGGGGCATGTGGTGGGCGGAGGAAGTAAGTGTGAGATCTTCTGAGCTGAGTTTTTCCTCTGAGGCCAGGGACCTCGCGTTGGTGGGGAGCTTCCCCCGAGATGTAGCTGGACTCGGACCACCTGTTCACCCCCTGGCTGCTGGGCCTTGGGGGGTGGTGGAAGGATGCCTGGGTCCTGGGACGTAGGCCAGGCATTGGGGTCAGTTGCCCACCTAGCAGCAGGAGCCCCCCCAGAGGCGGCCCAGGTATTTACGGAGCCCGAATGCAATGCACTTGGCCTCCTACCTGCTTGCACCCAAGAATCCCTGACTTTTTAGCTACTCTGTGTCTTGCTCCTCTGCTCAGTGGACAGGACCCAATAAAAACCTGCATGCTATCTCTTGTTCAGCGTGGGGTTTATGTCCAGCAGCATCCCCTTAAAGAGGAACCCCAGCCCTGCAGCCTTCTGCTCTCTTCCCTGAAGTGTTTCTCTCTCTCTCTGTCCTTTTTCTGATTAGAATAGAGTGTGAGTTGGCCAACCAGAGTACCTTCTGACTTCAGTGAAGCCTAGGATTTTCAGAGTCTGTGGGGCACCTGATTAACTTGCTTTTCCGAGTAGAGGACCACAACAACAAGAGCCACATTAAGTTAGCAGCTAACCTTTGTTGTGCACGTACCAGATCCCAGGCGTTGTTCTAGGGCTTTCCTTGAGCATCTCCCTGAATCCTCACAGCAACCCAATGAACTTGGTACTGTTACTGCAGCTGAGGAAACCAAGACTCTAAGGGGGGGAAGTGAGTGGCTGAAGGTCACCAAGCTAGTAAGCAGAGGAGTGGGGACTGGGCACAGCCATACGGCCTCAGAGCTCGTGTTCTTTCCCGAGAACTGGGCTAGCAGGTGCCACTCCTTATTTTAGACTGACGTAGGTGGAGCCAGGCCGCCCTGTGGCTAATAGAGGGCAGGCTCCAATACAGCCTAGGAAAGTCCTCTGTCTCTGCTACCACTGGACCTCCAGGCCCTCTGTCCGTGGGACCTGGAAGGCGAGGGAACAGGTGAGCTACACTGGGCACGCAGAGGGAGCCGTGGGGCTTGGTGTCGGTGTGTCTGACACCCAGGGCTGTCCAACCGACCGATTGTTCTATGTGGGACTGTGGGTCCGGTGAGGTCAGATCTTCTGATTTCTCAAATATGAGAGAAATTTCCTGATTTTGAAAAGCACGAGGCCAAACTGATAGGTCTGACTCGGGCACCAGACACGAGATGGGGACTGCTGCCTCCATCCTAGTTGGTGGTTCCTGGCTCCATCTGAGTCCCAGAGTCGCTTCTTTATGGGTCAGTAACTCCCACTAGAGTGTGAGGGATTTCCCTGCGGCCTGAGAACCTTCTGAGGCCTCCCTCTGTGTTCAGTAGCTTGCATAGGGCCTGGCATGTAGCATACACGGGCTGACCGTGTCTGTGTTCTCTCTTTCTGCAGAGGGGATGCCTTTACGTGGAAATGCCTCATGGTCCCCCATTTCTGTTCCCCAGAATCAGGTAGTCCCAGTAAAGGGAAGTCCTACGCAGGCCTGGGGAAGAAGTCCCGGCTGATGAAGACAGTGCAGACCATGAAGGGCCACGGCAACTACCAGAACTGCCCGGTCATGAGGCCGCACACCCCTCACTCAAGCTATGGCACCTACGTCACCCTGGCCCCCAAGGTCCTGGTGTTCCCGGTCTTTGTTCAGGTGAGCTAGTGGTTGGCCCCAAGGGCTCCCTCGTGAGATGAGAAAGAGGAAGGTCCTTCACCCCAGGATCATTCCAGAAGGGTTCTCTTTGGGGAAAGAAATGACTTCAGGTGCTCAGGCTTCTGGGGGTTATACTGAGGGAGCAGAGGTTTCCAGGGGAGGACCAGGAGAGCGGGGGCAGGGAAGCCGAGCAAAGAGGGGCTCTTCTCCCTGCCCCCTCTCCCAGTTTTCCCTTCCTCTGGGGACAGGGCAGGCTCACTACAGTTCCTAGTTGGCATTCCCATGGGGCCTGCTTGCTGAGGCTTCTGCTCTCTGGCCCATCCAGTGGTTTGTTGTTTGGAAATGACCGAGGGAGAGCCTTGAAGTCTGGCGTCTTATCTGGTCTCCTCGGTCTTAGCAAACGTGTCTGGCCAGTATTAGCTGGTGGCCTGAGACTCATTTCCATCCCCCTCTCCTACTTCTCCCTCTGCTTCTTCCTTCTCTTCCTCTCCATTTCCAAACCTCTATGGCTTCCATCCCCCAGACGCCATTAGTGTGAACACATAGGTGTCTTTTCTGTGTGCATGTACACACTTCAGAAGGAAAACCGAGCAGCCTCCTAGTGCACTTTTTCTATCCTTTTGCCTTTTTTAAATGAAAGTTGCAGCAGGAACGTTCCCCGCGTACACTAAATACTCTCCGAGCCTTTGATCTGTAGCAGCTGCACACTACTCTAGCTCACGGACATGTGTTTATTTAACTAGCTCTCTGTTCAGATAGACTTCTGTCTCCTTCCTTTGCTATTGCAAACAACTCTGTGATGAAAATCCTTGTGCATGAATTGCCCCTTTGATTATTTTCCTTGGGAGAGAGGCCTGGAAGTGACATGACAGTGTCATGCATCATAAACATGTCAAAGGCTCTTTATATATATTGACAAATGGCTTTCCAGAAAGACTGTGTTAGTTGGTCCTCTCATCAGCAACCTAGAGGAGACACAGTCCCAGGGGCTTAATTTCTGACCACGCCTTCCCTGTGCATGAACCTCTGGTGGGTGACACCCCTTTCCTCAGATGGCTCCCGCCTTTCTTTTGGTCTCTTCTCTTTCTCAGGACGGGACCACAAAGCTCTTGGCATCCACAGGAGTTATTTTTCATTTTCCTTTTAAAATCTTTACAGAAAATGAAAACTCGTTTTCAGAAAGTTATAATAACGTTTAAATTGTAAAGTACATAAACCCAAAACGGCCTAACAAATACACAGTTGAACCAATTGTAAAGCGGGTGTCCACTGAGATAAAGCTGTAGGCCGTGGCTGCCACTCCAGAGGCCAAACGTTTCCTCCCGATCCCAGTGTCCTCCTCCCTGCTGCGCCTACCCACGAGCTCGACTCCCTGATAGTCATTTCCTTGCTTCCCTTTACTTTGATCACCTCTGTGTGCTTTCCTGGAGAACGTGTTTTGTTTGGCCTCTTCTGGGGCCTTGCTTCTTTCACCTCACATTCTTCGTGAGATTCATCCAGGGGCTTGTACGTAGTGGACATTTGCTTCATTATCTTTCTTCCAGCACCTTGCTTGGTGTCGGGTACCTAGAAGCCATGTTATAAATATGCATTCACCCAGGATAAGCCCTGCTGGGTCATCCAGATCTTAGGGAGCTTTCTCTGGGCTGGGCAGGGGGCAGGGGCTCCTGAGCGGGGACGGGGGAGGATGATAGGGTGGGTGAGAAGTTTGGGTGAGAATTGGTCCCTGGGGACTGCTTGCTGGGAAGGAGTCCCTTAACTCAAGCGTGTTATGCATGTAGAGCAGGGACCGGCCTGGCTCTGAAGGGACCAAAGTGACCATATCTGGCATGAGGCTCTCAGGATCTGGGGCCTGGCAGCAGGGACTTTCCCCGTGAGGCTGGAATGGGACAGATGGAGGAGAGTGGGGGCTGGGGGGGCCCCCCGGAGCCCAGCGGAGTCGGGGAGCTCGGGGGAGGACTGTGAGTGCCTAAACGTGTGGTTGGACTTCCTGCCAGAGCCTGGCTCTTACAGTGGGGCTTGGTGGGGAAGGTGGCAGCAACAGTTCCGGCCAGGACAAGAGCATCTGTCTTTCTGTTTCCACCTGTGTGTGAGGGGGTGTGTGGGCTCCCCGGGGGGGGGGGTGGTGCTGGAGGCTTCTTTCAGTCAGTCGAGAGGGTTCTCTGTGGCTGGCTCTGGCAAGCTGCCTCCCCCCACACCCCATCTCCACTGGGCCTCTCTGAACTGCCTGCGTTGTGTTCAGCCTTTAGATCTCTGTAACCCTGCCCGGACTCTCCTGTTGTCTGAGGAGCTGCGGCTGTACGAGGGGAGGAACAAGGCTGTCGAGGTAAGGCTTACACGTGTGGCTTCACCGACATCCTCCAGGCCCCTAACTTTTCTCTTCCTCATGGTCTTAGAGTTGTACAGTCTCGGGGTAGAAAAATCCTGAAGTCTTCCACCTCCATCCCCGTCCATCCCCCTCCTTACCAAATGGCTACCCATCTTGTTTTTGTACATTTCCAGTGATGGGGAGCTCACCACCTCTCAAAGCTGTTTAGTCCATCTTTGATGGTTAGAAAGTTTCCCCAGCCCCACAAGACATCGCATTGTTTATCCCAACTTCCTCTAAGGAGCAGGAGAGGTGGTAGTTTACCCTGGCTGTGATGAATGACTTCGTAGGTAAGAAGATTGGAGCTATTAGCCAAAGAGAATTTTTGAAGGAGCGTCAGTTACTCAGGTTTTCCGGGTCTGTATTAACCCAAATCCCAAATCCTCTTCTAAGGAATAAGTCTGTGATTTCTTCTGGGCTCTCGCTCTGCCAACAGAGGCCTGGGTGTGGAGATCACGCCGTTCTGCCTGGGAGCTGGCCTCTGTTCATCTCTAACTGGGGGAATTTCCCTCCCCCCACAATCCCCAGAGTTGGCTCGGGCCTGTGAAATCTACTTGACACCAAAGTTGGAGCCCTGGGATCTGACTGGCCTATCTGGGGGCTTGCTGCTGATCAGGCCGGCCGTGGGGCTTGGCTGAGCTGAGTGGCAGCTTGTGGGTAGTGCAATGATCTGGTTTGTTCTCCTCTGAGCCAGTGGTGGTGTGTGTCTTTGAGGCAGCTGAGGTTAGCTGATCTCTAAGGGCCCGTTCAGCCTCAGCGTTCTGGGACCTTCTGTGTAATTGTGGCTAAGCAGGAGGCTGCTTTTGTTTTTTCTCGACAAGGGGACCAGAACTCGTGTGTTGCAAAGGAGCATTCTCTCTTTCTCCCCGGGGAGACCTCATGCTTATTTCTACCACATGGGCATTGCTCACTACATTTCTGGACTTCCTCTTGAGGAGCTTTCTTAGGAGCTTTGGCATATCTTCTGAGTTGCCTCTGAGAGAGTAAAACTTCATCTTGGTGGGGTGGTTTGAGTTTTAGGAACAAGAAGTCTCTTGGAGCCGGGCTTGATGAGTAAGTGTGTGATGGAGCTAAGTCAGGTGGCCAAGGGTCAGAAAGTGAGGTGTGGCTACAAATTCACAAGACCCAGAAGAAGGCAGAAATGGCAGCAATCCTGAAATACACACGTCTGCCTAAATTTGCTCTTTTGTTTGTCCTCTCACCATTAGGTGCTCAAACACCGAGCACTTACTGTGTATTCTCACGGTGCATGCATTTTACATAGTAGATCTTAAATTAGCTCCTGCAGCATCCTCATGAGAGGCCCGGTTGTCCCCATTCTACAGATGAGGAAGCTGAGGCTCCAGTGAGATTAACTGGAACCCAAGGGTCTCAAGGCTCATTAGGGACAGAGCCAACTTTAGCAGTTGGATCTCTGGCTCAGCACTGCTTTCTCACGCTGCCTCTGGCATGTTTGTTGAAAAACAGACTGGCAAGCACAGACTGGAGCCATAGCCTGATTATATTTACAGTCTGTCCAAAAAATCTTTGTTTAGTGGATCTTTGGAGTCTTAGAACTAAGATATCCCTTTTGAGGATTGAAGGAAGTGATTTGAAGACAAAGTAAATATATTTCTTTTTTTTTTTTTTAAAGATTT